ATGTATGTTGCCGGTGAGAAAAACGTGTGAAGTGAGTTTTTGCTCACGTCGCACGACTTTTCCTGCCACGTTTGTTTACATGAATCAGTGCCGTAAGTTAGTAACGCCTTTCAATAGCTCGCCTGACAACTTAGCAACACGTGGTGGCCGTACGTTGAGGACTAACCCGATGAGTTTCGCCTTGCAGGTGGATTTGGCACGTCCACCTGGGCTGCTTCCTCCTCCTTTCAAGGAATTGATGGGTCAGTTCATCCTAAAAAACCTTGGATTAACCTTGGGTTAATCAAACCTTGGGTTTGTTTTGCTGGCCTGTTAATAATTATTTGGATCCGGGGTTTTTTTTTACGGCTGGGGAGGAAACGATTTGTGCACGGTTGGTCTGGAGTGTGAGAAACAAACCTGCAGTTTCTTCCCAAAGCTTTGCACCAGCCGTGAGTCATCCTCATTCAACACCATTAAGCCGCTCCTGCTTGGCTTTTCCCAGCCACCGGGAACCACGCTGCCTCGTTGGGCCTGTGGAACTGCCCACCACAAGAACGAGCAGCGGCTCTGAATTCACCGAACCACAGCTATTGGGGAATGCTGATGATGGGATTTGTAGTAACTGAGGTTTTAAAGGGCCTCTTGGTCCCCAAGGCTCGGATATCTCGGCGGGAGCTGAAAGCCAGTGCTAGCTTCCTTCGTTTGAGCTAGCAACCAGGAAACCGAATTATGGGACAAGCTGGCATTGAGAGGAAATTGCATATCTTTTTTTTTTTTTCCCCTTCTGAATTGACAGCTCAGCATCTTTGCTAGTGGAAACGGAGCTTGCAAACGCTCAGTTATGTAATAAACCCAGGGCAGTTTTTTCCCTGACCCCTTTTGGTTTGTTTTTTTTCTTCTTTTTTTATCAAAGAACAGCCTGTTCTGAATAGAGGAAGACTCAGTGGCGTTTTTCCTTCCTCTGCCAACGCTTGTCATCTTTTTGGGAAGCCTCGACATTTGAATTGGGCTGCCCCGAAAATTTGTCTTTCTACAACTAGAGTAGAAAAGATTATTTCCCCCTCTTTCTGGGGACTTTGAAAAAAACAAAGTTGGTTTTTGCATGGCTTAGTTTTCAGTTCGTTGCAAAGGAGTTTTGATTGTTACGTATTTTGTGACAATATAATGTTTATATTATAAACATGAGGGGGAGGGAATTCTGCCTCTGCCTACCAGCATCCATCAGTATTCATCTGGCTAGTGTCCTGTCAGTGTGTGAGAGAGTTGAGGGCTGTTTGGAAACGGAAAGAGTATGTGCTGTGTGAGCAAGGAGACAACAAGGAGCCTGGGCAGGGCTTAGCTCAACTGTTCCGTCCTAAAGCTGCTTGGTACTGTGAAACTAAAAGTGAAACTCCTCTCCTCTGCTTGTGTTTTGCATTTGGAAGAGATTTCTTTTCAGGTAGAATGGGGGAGTAGAATTCCTTGGCACCGGAGCGTGTTAATAATAATAATATACGAAATAATAACGCTCTGATGGTCATTTCAAAAAGTCCTTTCCTAGTGAGCACCTAGAAGCCACGAGGACCATAGGTGCCGAATTTCTAGTTTGTAGGCTTTATGGTTCTGGAGATTGTGTGATGGTGCGTGAGGGGTATTTTGCTTTTATATAGATAAATATTGATAGTGTAAAATGGAGCTTGCGCATCATTTCAGCTGTTGGTTTGGGAGTTTCCTTCCTGAATTGTCGGACACAAACTGAAAGCTTTCCTTAACCGTGATTTATTCGTTTAAACCACTATGGTGAGCGGTCTCAAGTTCAGAAGTAACTTTTAGATTTTGGTTTTAGTGTGCAAATGAGAAAAGGAAATTGCCCAACTGGTTTAGAGCGGAGGCCTGGCAGATGGAGGGGACGCTGTTTTGTCTCTTGGGTGCCATTTGATGAGTTGGAGAGCCGAGTTCGGATCCGTACCATTCCTGTTTGTAATGTGGAAAGCAGTACGGGGTAGCCCCTCGACGTAACATATGCCACCGAGCCCAAAATTTCCCTCGCTAAGTGAGATGGCTGTTAAGTGAGCCTTGCCCCATTGTGCGACCTTTTCTTGACGCCATTGTTAAACAAAGTGCCGCGGTTGTTGAGGTTGTTAAGTGAATCCTGCTTCTTCCTCATTGACTTTGATGGTCATAAAAGGTGATCAGGTGACCCCAGGACATTGCAACCGTCATAAATATGCATCCATGGCCAAGCTTTTGATCCACACTTATGACCGCAGCGGTCTTAAGTGTGAAAAAGGCTCAGAACTCACTTTTTTCAGGACCATTGTCACTCTGAAGGTCACTAAATGAACCATTATAAGTCGATACTCCCCGTATTTATCGTAATCTAATCCATCCATTGTCCTGTAAGATTTTTTTTTAACGGGGCATCTTGCATAGTGGGTAGATCAATCCAATCCTGCCCTTTTAAAAAGTTTATAAACTAAACCGAGGCGGGGAAATGCGTGTTCCTGAAATATCTATTTATATTTAACATGCCCGTGCATGGAATTAAATTATCCATTGCCCGTTTGCCCCTACGGCACACTTTTTTCCAGCCTTAGCTTTTTAAATATACACATCTGTGCGTGTTGTGTAAGCCTTAACACAGAACCTGATTCACCACCCTGGTGTTGTCGTTTTTCCCCCACTCTCTTCTTTTTTTTCCTTCTTTTCTTTCCATGACTAACCAAGTCTGCGGCTGGCAGGACTTCAGTGGGGCAGTTCATCTTTAAAACATGTTTCTTAGAAAGCGACTTTGCACGGTTTCCATTTTTTTTTTAAAAAAAAGGGGCTGGCAAGATTTAAACACACACACACACACAAACACACACACACACACACACACACGGCGTTGAAGAAGAGAATGACACGAGTTGGAAAGGGACCTTGGAGGTCTTCTAGTCCAACCCCTTGCTCAAGTAGGAAACCTCATACAATTTTCAGACAAATGGTTATCCAATCTCTCGTTAAAAGCTCCCAGGGTTGGAGCATTTACAACTTCTAGAGGCAAGTTGTTCCACTGGTCCATTGTTCTCACCGTTATGAAATTCCTCCTTAGTTCTAAGTTGCTTCTCTTCTTGATTAATCTCCACCCATGGCTTCTTGTCCTGCCTTCAGGTGCTTTGGAGTATAGCTTGACTCCCTCTTCTTTGGGGCAGCCCCTGAGATATTGAAACACTGCTATCATGTCACTCCTGGTCCTTTTTGTTAAACTAGACATACCCAATTCCTGCAACCATATATGTTTTAGTCTCCAGTCCCCCAATCCTCTTGGTTGCCCTTCTCCACGCTCTTTCTAGAGTCTCCACATCTTTTTTATAATATGGATTGCAGCCTTCTAGGTGTGATCTTACCAAGGCTTTATAAAGCGGTACAGATCAACGCTTGCTGCTTCTAGTCAGGAGAAAGCTCTAAAATATCTCTGCTTCCCAGAAGCATGTGCAGAGTGCATCTTGGTTGGAGCCCAGGGGGCTGTTTGCATCAATGAAGCCGAAACGCCTCCTGGTGGTGTCAGCTTTGGAAGCCATATTGAGATTCAGGGCTTCCATTGTTGCCACTGTTGAGCCTGAGAAAGCGGGAGGGAGGAATTCACTGGAGTAGAGGCAAAATAAAATCCTTTTCTTTGGTTCAAGGTCATGGAGTGTGGCACATGATGAAATGGGAATCTTACTTTAGGACGGATGGGGATTGGACCATGTGATGTGACGATGGCTAAGGGGTGGGGGATGGATTTGTAGTTCCGACTTTTGCAAGGAAGCCCAAAACTTTCCGATACGGGATTCCACCGATGTGCCAGTTTACTATCCCAATAAAAGGAACTTTTTGAGAGGCGTCTGTCTCAGAGTTATTGTTTGGATTGGAGGGTTGCTGGAATGACGACAGGTGGAAGAACGTGGGGAGAAATCTGTGGCGAAAGTGGGAATCGTGTGAGAGTTGGAGGTCCTTCACTTCAGATGTTCCTTCTCCCATCAGTTGAGAGCCATCTTTCTCAGTCCCCCTGGAAGGGGATGATGGGGCTCATAGTTCAGAACATCCGCTCTCTTTTCCCCTTCCTCTTCCCAAGTGCAGAGCGTGGAACTTCGGAACGTGGCGTGAAAGGCATTCACCACGGAACATCTGGAGGCTTCTGATAGGGGCTGGGGCCAGATGTTCCATTCTGTTAAGGCCTGTGGCCTTCTCCTTTTTATCGCTGCTGGTGGTGGGGGGAACATCTGTCTTGGCTGTCCCCAGACGTTCTATCACCCCCCTGAACAGCTGTCCTCGCAAAACCACCTTCTATTTTTTTAATGTTTCGCTCACCCCTTGTTTTCCTTTCCGCTCGATTAGGTACTGTTGACCGTCACCCATCGTCCGCAGCGACATCACCCCGTGAGGCCTCGGAGCGAGCGGGCTGACCGACATCCCTCCGCCGGATGCCCATCGCCCAACGGGTGGGCCTTGAACCATGGGTCAAAAGGTGACTGGGGGGATCAAAATGGTGGACATGCGGGACCCGGTGTGCCGGCCGCTGAAGCAGGAGCTGCAAGGCCTGGACGACAGCAAGCCAGCTCGACTGGACCTCCTTCTGGACATGCCTGCCGTCCCCTACAACGTCCAGCTGCTCCATTCGTGGAACAACGACGACCGCTCGCTCAATGTCTTTGTGAAAGAGGAAAACAGGCTGACTTTCCACCGACATCCGGTGGCCCAGAGTACCGATGCCATCCGGGGCAAAGTGGGGTACACCCGCGGGCTCCACGTCTGGCAGATCACCTGGGCCATGAGGCAACGGGGGACGCACGCTGTGGTGGGTGTGGCCACGGCCGAGGCCCCTCTGCACTCGGTGGGCTACACCACCCTCATCGGGAGCAACCCCGAGTCCTGGGGCTGGGACCTGGGCCGCAACCGGCTCTACCATGATGGGAAAAACCAGGCCAGCCAGACCTACCCGGCCTTTCTGGAGATGGACGAGACCTTCATCGTGCCAGATGCGTTCTTGGTGGTGCTAGACATGGACGACGGGACCCTCAGCTTCATCGTGGACGGGCAGTACATGGGCGTGGCCTTTCGGGGGCTGAAAGGGAAGAAACTCTACCCCGTGGTGAGCGCCGTGTGGGGCCACTGTGAAATCCAGATGCGATACTTGAACGGCCTTGACCGTAAGTCTCTCTCTCTCTCTGTTTTTTGTGGTGTTTGGTGGTTGACCTTCTTAGTAGAGAGAATAGAATAGAATTAGAATAGGAATAGAAATAGAAATAGAGGTCTCCAAACTTGGCAACTTTAAAACTGGTGGACTTCAACTCCCAGAGTTCTCCAGCCAGCATGTCTGGAGAATTCTGGGAGATGAAGTCCACAAGTCTTAAAGTTGCCAGGTTTGGAGACCTCTGGAATAGAGAATAGAACAGCATAGCATAGCATAGTGCATTGTATAGTGTATAGTAGTGTATAGTTTAGGTTTAGTTTAGGCTTAGTTTAGGTTTAGTTTAGCTTCACAAACAGTCTTTCAGGGGAATGTTGATAAACACTCGCCTTATCGCGCTTCCAGAGAACTAACTACCAAACGCGGGGCAAGGCCAAACTGGACACAGAGTCAAACAGAACTTTTCAAAGCTTGGGTCGGTCAGGCAAATTAATTGCTTCCTGCAAAAGCTCACGTCCTCTTCGCTCCTCTTTGATGTCCTATGGGAGGGGCCAATCCTCTCCGAGGTGTGGCCTTACTCCTGAGTCCACCCTGCTGGCTTGATGTTCTTGCTCCTTGGTGCTTTTGATGGGGGGACAAAAAAGTTAAAAAATGCAGAGAAGCTCAACCACCGCCTTGACTTCACCATCAAGCAAACTTGGGGCTCCGTTGTGGTTGTAAGCGATGCTTTCCAAACAACGGCGGAATTTCAGGCTTTTCAGAAAAGTTAGGGAAATATTCTCCGACGGGCTTTTCCCCAATCCTTAAATCAGAATTTCTGAATCTGGGAGGATTTGGCAGTACGTTTTCGGCACATCTTGCCGTCCACGGGGGGTGTTGTGGGTTCGGTGCTGGATTCTGAAACAAAAATGCTACACACACAACCCCCTGGTGCTCTCCCGTGCCGCTTAGCCGTTGTGCGTGATTGAGGCTGTTAGGTGTTGGCAGCCAACGTTGGAAAAATCTGCCTGAGGAGGAAACGGCAGCTGGGAGAAATAAGTCACTGCAAAAAATAATCATAATAAAGTTTTAATTGCCGATATTTGTGACGTTTTCTTGCAGGTGTTGCTTTCAAGTGGGATGAGTGAGGCAAGCTTAGTCAACAGGATGAGATTTTTCTCAGGAATGGGAAGGTCAAAATTGGCCTTGGCTACCATGCAGCGGTGGTTTTATTTTATTTTTTTTTCACCTCCTTGACTCTGATAAATTTCCAACTCAGTGTTGTAGACAACATTTGACTTGCCAGATAGAGCTTACTTCATCTATATATCATCTTAGCTCACTAAGTTGGTGAAAGTTGGTGGATTTGTGAGGAGGCGCCCAACGTGGGGTGTGTGACCGATGCTTCCTGTGGCAACCTAGAGCTTTTTGGGAATCTAGCAAACGAGGGATTTGGAGTAATTTAAGGGGAAAAAAATATGCATTTCTCAAAAGGAACTCTTCTCAATTGGCAATGTTGGAGTTTCTCAATCGCAGCGCTTTTAAAAACATGCGGACTTCGATTCCCAGAATTCCCTTTCCAGGAAGGGAGGACTACAACTCCCAGAAGTCTGCATGCTGGCTGGGGGAATTCTGGGAGTTGAAGTCCACACATCTTAAAGGTGCCGAGATTGAAGAAAACACTCACCTAGATCGAGGCCCGTTTCACACCAGCAAGTTAAATGAAGAATTCGGCCTCTGCAATCGATCTTCATCTTAAACAAGGGAAGCCATTTTGTACCAATGTTGTCTGCTTTTATTGCACCCATGGTACAGCTGGTCTCGCTGAAAGAGCTCGACGTTTCTGTGTGGTCCAAAACTGCTGGTTGAATTTGGACTGTTCTTAGTTTAAGGTCTGTAAACAGTACTAATTTTGGATCTGTTTTCCCTTGTAGCCGAACCTTTACCGCTGATGGACCTGTGCCGGCGTTCGGTGCGCCTAGCTTTGGGCAAGAACCGGCTGAATGAGATCTCGACGCTGCCTTTGCCCAAATCTCTCAAAAATTATCTTCTTTACCAATGACCCTTTTTGAACACCGGAAGGACAAGAACTCTTCCTTTTGGAGCGAATTGTGTTGGATTCGTCAAGTCAAAATCTTGGGGGGGTGAGGTTTCATCCTTGCGTGTTTTTAAAGAAATCTGTCCCACGTCCCATCCGTGGGCCACGCCGCGAGTGGAAAAAGCTCCCTTTTTTTTCCCAAGATCCCATCCCGGTGGGAATTTTCTTCCAGAAAAGATTCCAGCCCTGCCTTTCTGCATCCTAGTTTGAATTTCCCGCTTGTCCGTCAACCGCGAAAGCCGGGCGGCCCCCGTGGAGTTTTGCCGAGTGGGGGAGGAACACCTCCGCGGCTCGTCCATGTTGGAGATGACAGAGGTGCAGGAATCAAGACGGTGGGCCAACCGGGATGCAGGAAAAGGGACGAGGCCCCCACAGGATGTGGGGGAGGATGGCCTCAGGGAAGAAGCGAGCCACTGCTTGGGAGATCTTCCACCTGCGGTCCCTCGGCTGCACTTTTTCCCTGCCTTCACCGCCGTGCCTTGGTGCCCACCAAATCGCCCGGCTTCACTGCTGCATGGCTCACCTCCCATCTCTTGCCGGAGAAAAATACTTGAAATGAACATTTGGGGTGGGGTGGGGGGTGTCCTAAAGATCAATGGGGGTGGGGGGAAGGGTCTGGGAGGGAGTGATGCCCTAATTCAGCCCGTAGCATCCCCTGGCTTAAGAAAAAAAACAAAACACATTTTTTCTTCATTCGTCCTTGCCGAGGATGGAGGAATGGGCACGGGTGAATTCCCCTACCACTTCCGGCTAGGGATTTTGGAGTGGTGTGTGTGTGTGTGTGTATGTGCCAGAAACCTCAGGCTCCAATGGGGGAAAGAGTGTCTTAAAAAATGGTGGGAAGGTGGTTACGCCAGCTAGCCCAAGTTCCATCGTGGATTCCTGGTTTGCGATCGGACTACAATCCCACTTAGCCGGGCTCAAATTCAGCGGCTGACTCAGAATCCAGCTCTTGAATCGGGGGTCAGGGGGCTCCTAAGCCCCTTCCTCCACTTCCTGGGCTGGTCAGGCATCGCAGGATGTCCCCCCCCCTCTCCCCCCAAGGGTGATAAACCTAGACTAGCAAATATCCTTGATCCAACCAGCAGGGGAAAACAAACAAACCTTTATTTTCGATACTGCCTTCCAAGGGATTTGATTTGCACATATTTTATTAACCTGAAATGGAGGTGGGAAAAGCTTTGGGTTGGGGTATTTTTTTTTTGTTCCCACCCACCCAATTGGTCTACAGGTGTGTTCTTTTTATTTGATGTGTGGGCTTCTCTATTTGGAGGGGGAAATGTTAATATATTGATACGTGTGTGTGTGTGTGTGTGTGTGTGTACGTTTTGCATTGTTTTGAATGTAAAAATGCTGGATTGTTGTTGGGGTTTTTTTTGTTGTTGATGTTTTTAAGTTCATGCTGCTGTAGAAAAATTGTAGTTAGTTAGTTTTAAATGAAGAAGAAACAATTAGGTTAGTTAGGATTTTTTGTTTTTTTTCTTTTTAAGCACACAACATGGTGCCAAAGTAAGTTTTGGGAGGCGATCTTTGTGCGCATCTCTTTATTATTATTATTATTATTATTTTAAATCAAGGAATAAAACCAAAACTGTTTTCAAGTGGAACACTTTAACAATTGCACAGAAAAGGATTTTTAATGTGTGCAGAGCCAAGCATTTTTAATTGTCTTCAAGTCTCCCCTTTTCCCACTCACACCGAAAGTCAGGCACGGATGTGATTTTCTTTCTTTCTTTCTCGTTTTGTTTTATTATATGGAGTATTTCATTTCCCCTTCCTTCCATTTTTTTTTTTTTTTGGTGCACATCGTTGGTGTGACTGGCTTATACAATTTTTTTTTAAAAAAAAACAAAACCTCTCACTGGCTTTTTTTTTTTTCCTCTCCTCCCCTTTTGGACTGTAGATGATTAGGACCCCCGATGAAAGTGAAAGAGAACGAAAATAAAAATGTATTAATAGTTACACGCCTGTGGCTGTCAATCTCGCAAACGGTTTACGAATCTTGAGTGACACATTTTCCATTCCAAAAAAAAAATAAAATTAAAAAATGAGATTCGCTGGTGCTGGATTGCTCGAAGATTGGGAAGGGTGGAGCTCTTTCCAGTGACTAAATGATGAAAATATGATTTGCAGACTCTGAAGAAGGAAGGAAAAAAAGGCATGGAAGTTCGCTTAAATCTTAACAATTTCACGCTGAGGTTGGATTGTTTCTGCCAGTAGTCCACAACTTACAATGGTTCAGAGTTATGATTTATGACCGTTTTTCATACTTACGACCATTACGGTGTGTTCCCCCCCCCCCCGGGTTGCGTGATCAAAATTCAGGCACTTGGCACCTGATTCATAGTTAAGACGGTTGCAGCATCCCTACGATCCGGTGATGACCCAAAGGGGCGTGGCACAAAGGCAACCCAGTCAGATAATCGGTCGGAGTCCCTTTATTAGCGCCAACTTCGCCCCCAATGTCCTGGTTACCTTCTGGGCTGGAGAAAAAAAACTCCCAGGAACAGCCTTTGGCTGCAGAGAGAATCAAGTCCAAAATGTGGTCAACAAAAACTGTAACCATAAGTCCAAACAAGGCAAAATGAGGAAATTAGTCCGGCAGGGCAGGAGAAGGAATTTCAGACGTGAAAGAACGGCCATAATTCAGCACGGTTGGGAAGACCCACGTTTGCTCCCAGCAGCTGTCACACTCAGCTTGCATCTCTTAAACTCTCATTCCCAGGTGTGGCTAATGAAGGGAATCGGGGCCCTTTCCTCCCCCGTAAGCCACGCAACCCACGTTGCTCCCTTCTCCGTTCCTCCCTGCGTGCCCTAGGATGAAGAGGGGGTGGGCCTGGGTCTTCCTCTGAACTCCCTCTCCCTTGTTCTACCTCTCCCCTGCTCTGCCCAGCCGGACTTTGCCCTTCCCCAGTTTTTTCCACAGCCAACGGAGCCACACTCCCACTCCCTGTCAGCTGTTTAGCTTCCTCCTCGGATTCAGACTCTTGACGGGCATGACCCATCCCCTTTGGGGACTCCTAACAAGAGAAGCCAATAGGGAAGACTGTTAGGGCCCACGCGGCAGTGGACGGAGCTGGCAGCAGAGTCGGACAGTAGCAAGGAGGTTGGGGAGGAACCTGGGCCGGTTTTGGAGGTTGAGGAGGACTCGGACAAGGGCTCTGCATCGGAGTCAGAGATGGTGCCAGGGCAGGCTGGCAGTCAGCAGCTGCCTTCAGATTCAGACAGCAGTGAAGCGGGGGAGCGTCTGGAACCGGTTCCCAGCCTGCGCATGCGCAGGACTACCAGAAGACCAGACCAATTGAAAAAGCAGTGTCGACTCAGGAGTAAGGCCACACCTCGGAGAGGATTGGCCCCTTCCATGGGACCTAAAAGAGGAGTGCGCGGGATGTGAGCTTTTGCAGGCAGCAATTAGTTCGTCCAGTCAATTCAAGCTTTGAAAAGTTCTGTCTGACTCTGTGCCCAGTTTGGCCTTGCCCTGCGCTTGGCAATTCGTTCCCTGGAAGTGCGATAAGGTGGGTGTTTATAAACATTCCCCTGAAAGACTGTCTGTGAAGCCTGGCCGGCTGTGAATAAACGTAATTCACAGCTGTGGAAATAAAAAGAGGTTTTGCCAGGACTAAGGTGGTGTTTTATGCTTTCTAAGGAAACCTAGGTCAGAACAAAGCCAGATTGACTTAACAACCACGTTAGTCACTTAACAGCTGGGATGTTCAGACCGACAAGCCAAAGGAAACTAGGGCCTGTCTGGCCGTTTTTCTCCCACCAAGCCGAGCTCTAACCTGGTTTGCCAGTTCAGCCTATTCACGGCGGCTTGCAAAACCGTTGGGCAGCCAAGCGAACTTACTCACCCTCGGCGGCTTTTGCAACCGCGTTAAGCAATGGGCGAAGCCAGTTTTTTCGGCACCCAAAATGAGGAAGTGGGTGAGCCGGAGAACAAATGACCGTATAAAATATATATACAATATGTATCTTGCAAGCAAAAGGAGAGGCACCCAGGCTCTGTCCTTTGGCTGCAAAGAAATATTTTGCTGGGTTTCTATGCAACCGCTTTTAAAAATAAAATAAAATAAAATTCCTTAAGGGTCGTCTTTTTTTCTCTCTCTCTCTCTTCTTTTCCCCCCACTCCTCCTTCGATATTTGCAAGAGGGGTGGTATATCCATCAAAAAGGGGGAAGGGGGGGAATTCTTGGGGAAGGGGTGAACTTACGGGATGAGGGGGGCTGGGGGCGGCTTACGAAGCAGCCGCCTGCGCTGTCCATACAAGGCCTTTTCCTTTAGAGCCACGGATGGAATGTGCTCCCCGGGAAAAATAAATGAGAGCCCGGTGGAGTGGGGAGCGAATATTTTATCTGCCTTCCCTTCCAGACACCCAAACATGTGGCACGGCCAGCAAAAATGGAAGAATTCAGCCTTGCCTCTGAGGGTGTTTATATACAAAACCATGGCAACCACTACTCCCCCACCACCACCACTGGGGATGTGGGGAGGCACCTGGGTTTCCAAGAAGGGTTGTGCGTGAGCTGGCCTGGGTTTAGGGAAGTGTGTGCTGCTGCTTTTTTTTTTTTTAATGCAAGCTTGCAACATGGCTGGAGGGCCCCTCCCACAAAAAAAAAATTGCAAAAATGGGGGCTCCCGAGAAGACCCACAATTTATGTATTTATTTTCCCCCCTTTTTTAAAATTTATCTGCTGCTTTTGACATTTCTGCAAATGGACGGGGGGGTGGGGGTGGAATTCGTCCTGGGGAGAAATAATTGGGGTCTCCTTTTAGGGATCTGCATTTGCCAAAAATCTTGAATTTTGTTTTACTTCGAAGGGGGGATGATAGATAGATAGATAGATAGATAGATAGATAGATAGATAGATAGAT